GACCATGGCAACAGGGGCCATCCCCTCTCCCACCTGCTGCCTCGAGGGACGCTGAGCTGTTTAATATCTGTCAGTACTCCCCTAAGCAGCAGCTACATCTTCCTACTGCTCTGCTATGACCCAGAGAGGTTTGGGACAGGGCTGCCCAGCCTTTGGCCCACCACACCACACATCCTCCCCTCCATCGCAGTGTGATGGCATGTGTCCCATAGGGGTGAAACTCGCCTTGCTCCTCTCCACAGGTCTCTGAACGGTGTCATCGAGCAGATGGAGAAATTCTCCAGCGACCTGCACGACCTCTCACACAAAGTGGAGGCCACGCACCACACCACCTCCCAGGAGCTGGCCATGGGGGCACGGCAGCGGGACAAGCAGCTCAAGGGTACGTCTGCTATTCCTCTGCACTGAAACGGCTGCGGGGTCTCCCCGGGGCTGGGGACACCCAGAAAATGGGGAGAAGTTGCTCCAAGTCAGCTAGGGGCTGGGAGCTTTGTCTGCCTTGGTCACTGGACATCTCAGGGTCTCCTCTTTACAAAACAGTGTCCTGGGAATGTGCAGAAGGCGACGAGCACAAACGCATGCGGTTTTTCCATGAATATGGTGTGGACAGAGGGGGGCTTCCTACCTCAGGCTGCTCATGACCCTGCTGCTGCCTCTCCCCAGTGCTCCAGGACAGGCTATCGCAGCAGCAGAGGGACATGGAGGAGGAGCGGAGCCGACTCCAGGAGGTGATCGCTAAAATGGAGGCCAGGCTGGGTGAGCAGACTCGGCTGCTGGAGCAGGTGAGCCCATGCTGTGTCCTTGGCCCAGGTCAGCCCTCCTGTCTGGATATGGGGCGTATGTCTTGCCCATGGGAGGTCCCTGGCCTAGAGCCTGTGAATGGCATCTGTCTCTCCTCTGTGACTGAACCCAGGAGCGATGGAGGGCGACGGCAGAGCAATCCAAAGTGGAATCACTGCAGCACTCGCTGGAGGAGCAGCGGCGAGTCATGACCCAGCAGCTCTCCATGGAGCGAGCAGAGCTGGAGAGGGCGAAGGTGAGATAGGGCAGACATCTCCAGGTGCTTTTCACATGTCTCGTGAGCCTGACCGGGGCTGTGCTGCAGTGTGTGGAGGAAGGAGCTAGATGCTGGGCTGCAGCATCCTTCCTCTGCCCTCTCTCTCCTCAATCCCACACCCAGTCGCACGGTGAATCACAATCAGACCAACCCTCTGGCACGTGGATGCAAGAGGCTGCTGTGCGCGTGCATGATGCATGCTGGTTCTTGAGGAGCGTGGGGCCAGAGCTCTCCATGCAGGGTTCACGCCAGGTGCAGTGGGCTTGAACCAGCCTCTAGATGTTGTGTGGAGTTTAGTGGCAGGATGGGTTAAAGGAGAAAAATCCTACAGCGAATGGGACTTAGTGCTTTCTCTCTCCCTCTCTTGTGATGCTCTCCAGAGCGCTTTGCTGGAGGAGCAGAAGACGGTGATGCAGAAGTGCTCGGAGGAGCGACGGAAGCTGGCAGCTGAGTGGGCTGAATTTCACACCCGGCAGCAGCTGAGCAAGGAGTGGATGGAGCGCGACATGGACCGAGTCCTGCAGATGGACTCTCAGAGAGAGGGCACCATCATGAGCCTGGCCAAGGTACCACAGTGGAGCCCCTTCCTGTGGCCTCCAGCACTGCCTGGCAGGCTCACAGATGGGTCCTGCCCACAGGGGAGACGTTCAGCACTGCCTTCAAGTGTTTAAGACAGAGATGTCACTCTGGGTGGTGAGAATCTGGCTGTTCTAGGAACAGCCTCCACCAGCCCATTTTAGACGATGACTGAAGGATCAGTTGCCTCTGTCTCTCCGCTTTGCCTGTGAGGAGTTTGGGCAGCCAGACCAGGCGTAGCTGCCTCCATTGTAAGTCTGGTGAGAGGAAACCCCCGTGGTGGGTTAAGCAAAACCTCCCCATGCCATGGGGACATGTTCAGAGCCAGTTCTGCTCCCCCCTGGGGCTGTCTAGAGGGGATATGTGGCACAGACAGTGCAGCAGAGCTGCATTTTTAAGGGCTACCAGGGTGGAAAATAACCATTTAGGCTGGGTATTTCCACTGCTGACAAACTGCTGTGCCTTGAGCATGTTTTAGGGTGTGCAACATGATGAGGGGCTCCGTCCTTTCTGGGGAAGGAGTGTGTGTGTGTCTGTACAATCACAGCTCTGCCAGCCCTGGTCCCCAAGGGTGGGTGGATGAGGGCACTGCTTGACTACCTGGTGTTGTTGCTCTGCACTCCAAACTGGCACACATGAGAAGCTCAACAGGGGCAGATCTCTCCCGTCACTTGGGAAGATGTGAGATAGTGTCCAGGACAGGGCAGATAATGCACTGGTTTCCTCTGTACCCATCCTAGGAGCAGGCAGAGCTGAAGATCCGGGGCCGTGAGCTGAAAGCCAAGGAGGAGCAGCTGGCAAGGGACAGGGAGCTGCTGGATGAGGCCTGGCAGGAGCTGAGGCTGGAGAAGGAGAAGGTGAACGGGCTTGCGCTGCGCATCCGGCAGCGGGAGGAGGAGATTAAAAGCGTGACCAAGGTAAGCAGAACATCTGCACTGCAATTCACAGCTGTACACAGGCTGGCAGCAAAGCTGGGGTTTCACAGCCCTCCTAAAGTTGTGAATCCTCATCTTGTCCTGGGAGGGGACTAAGGGGATGCACAAAGGAGCCTTGCCCCAGGGCAGTGAGGGTCTTTGTCCCCAGCCTCCCCAGCTGCTCTTCCTTGCAGCTCTCATCCCAGAAGTATGAGGAAGGGGAGCGAGCCCTGCGCGAGGCATGCAGGATAGAGTCTGAGCACCAGACCAGGCTGCAGGTCATGCAGCAGCACTTGGAGCAGCTGAAGCAGCAGGAACAGTGTTTGCACCAGGCAAATACCCCCTCACCTTCCCTTCCTGGCCTGGGGCTGCCATGCCAAGGGCCTGAACCTTTGCCAACAGCTTCTCTCTCCCTTTCTCCTGGGGACGGGGCAGGAGCGCCTGAGCATGGCTCACCAGAGGAGACAGCTCGAACAGCTTCGCGAGGAGCTGCCCAACAACCCCATGAAGCTGCTGACTGCAGACCAGGACCTCAGTGCCCCTACAAAAGGCCTCCCCAGCATGCTGTGTAAGGATTCCTGCATGCTGCTGATGGGAAGGGACATGCTGGGGGGCAGCTGCACTTGCATTCCACTTCTCAGGAGGCTTGGGATGTTCCTGGGTGCTGTTTTAGTTCCCCTGTATATGAACTTCAGATGTGAGTTGGCTGCCTCCTCCCCTGAAGGAGCTCAGTGGAGCTCTCTGAGCCAGGGCAGTACCAGGAGGGGGGAGAGGAGGCAGAAAGGGAGAGGCAGGTGGGTTAAAGCCTGTTTGCACTGCAAGGTTGGGGAGGACAATGTTGCAGGGACATGCAGGCAGCAAAAAAAAGGGATGGTCTGTTGTCTCCGTCTGCAGTTCCTCTAACAGTGGCAGCATCACACAGTCAGGCTTTTGTTCCAGGCTTTCCGCCTCCTGTCAGGGTGCTCCCTCAGCACAGCCCGGGGGGTAGCAGGGAAACCCTGGCCATGGCTGGCCCCACCGAGCTCTACGCCAAACTGCTGCTGTTGAAGCACAGGGCCCAGCAGGTGAGCCATGGGAGACCAGGGCTGGAAGGGGCTTCAAACCAGCTGGGTGGGAGCAGGGCTGGGTGAAGCCTGATTTGAGCCTGATAGCCACAGGGTGTGGGGTGTCTCCTAAATAATTACTGAGCCACTGGGCTGGGCAGGCTTGCAGAAGCCATGGTCACCTAGAGGAGCGATACCAGAAGCAAGGACGGATGGATCCTCACAGCCTGTCTCGGGTTCATTGATAATGTCCTTGGCTTGGTGGGGTTACCCCTCTCCTCACCCCATCCCTGGGTGGGAGAAGCCAGCTCTGCTGGGCTCTGGTTTCATGATGCTGCCATCCTCTCCTATCAGCCCCCTGCTTCTCTGCTGGGTCCTTGCCCAGGCAGGGATGCTCTTTGAGGCTTCCTCTGTGGGTCTTGCTCAGAGTGTGAGGTTATGGGCTCTGGGGGGGAAGCCCATACAGCCCAGGGGGTATCATGGATGGGTACCTGCCCACCGCTGACTGCATGAATGAGGGTTTGTGATACTTCCCTCGCTCATGAGTGACACCGTGGACTGTGACCCCATTTCTGTGGCACGCTGATATCCATCCCATCCATCCCTCTCTTCTCAGGACCGTGATTTCTTAGAGGATGAGCAGTTCTTCCTGGAGACCCTGAAGAAAGCATCCTACAACACTTCATCTCTGTCAATCTGAGGAGGTGGCATCCCCACGCACTACCCACAGGATGGCTGTGTCCGTCTTCACAGGAGGCTGCTGCGCCCTCCACACGGGGGAGAAAAACAAAGAATAAATAATCCCAGTTCTCAGCTGAGGAACCATCCTTCTCTTTAAAAACAATCTCGGAGTATGAAATCCATCCCCACGGGCTGTGAAGCCACAGTTTGTCTGGCCTCCATCCCGCAGGGCACTGCTGGGGGGCAGTTGCCCTCGTAGGGGGGATTCAGTTGGCCATGCTGCTGGCTCTTGGGCGGGCAGCTGCCTGCCGCTGGGCCGTGACAACCAAAGGTGTTAGGGAGGATCACAGAGGTTTGGCCGGAGTTCAGCAGCACCCCGAGGACGTTCCACAGCTCACAGGCAACTCCAGCTTTTCCTTTTTCTGAAGAAATTTGGCTGTCGTGCTGAGCTTTACCTCCCTTCCCTCCTGCCCCGGGGTGGCAGCAGGGCTGCCCTGCTCCCTTCAGGGGGATCTGCCCTGGGGACAGAGGAGTAAGGGCGGAGATGGGGAGGGGTATTTGGGGCGAGGGAAGAGCCCGTCACTCGCGGGGGGTGTGGGGACGTTTCTAGTCAGGCTCTGCTCGAGACAGCCCCGTTGCCATGGCAGCGAGGGGGCCTTCCATGCCAGGCCCTGCGCGGCGCTCTGGCCGTCGCTATGGTAACGAGGGGGCCTTCCACTGAGGGCGGCGCGCACCATGGCGGCGCCCTTGCTGAGCGCCGCGCTCTGCGGCGTCCGGGGCGGGCGGGCCTTCGGCACGGCCGGTGAGACACGGGCCGGGGAGCCCCGGTTCCCCACGAGTGGGCAGCGGGAGCCGTTTGGAGGGGGTGGGGTGGCGTGGGTGGGGGGAGAGCTCTCGGACGCCTGGGTTCCCCAAGCGTGTCTGGCGGGGATGGCACCGGCCCGGGACTGCGCTCCCGCTCTCCGCCCGGCCCGGGCTGCCTCGGCCTCGTTTCTTGCTCTCTGTGTAAAAGGGGACCGCTCTCCGCTTCCAGCTGCGCTGTGCAGGCGGGCAGCCCCGCTGGGGCCGATGCCCAACGAGGATATTGACGTCAGCAACTTGGAAGCACTGGAGAAATACCGCAGTTTCACTCGCTACTTCAGGCTGGCGGAAAAGGAGAGCAGGAAGCCCCGGTGGTGGAAGACGTACCGGCAGCACACCAGCCCCCCGGCAGGTACTCCTGGAAGGAGCTGCGTCTCATGGGGTTTTGCTGCTGAAGGTCAGGGAAGCTGTCGTTGGGGCCACGGGTTTGCCCCAAAACCTGCCCCATAAAGAGCTGCTGAAGTGCTTTGGCACGAGGTTGGCTCTTTTCTGATACAGAAGTTTGCAGAGCGCAAGTGTCTTCAGGGGAAATAGATGGCAGTTTTCCAGAAGGAGGGAGGCTGGCCAGGACCTGCCAAAAGATGTGGAGCAGTGTAAAGAAGTGATTCCTTGGAACCCCACTAGTATCAGAGAAAGCAGACCAGGACCCAGAGTAGACCTGCAGCAAATAATACAGTTTGGCTGTTCTGCTGAGCAGCCGTAGAGACCAGGCCTGCTCGCTAGCTGGCAAACCTGTGGGTCTGGGAGTGCGAGGAGTTGGGGAAGGAGGAGGGAGCAGAAGGGTGGAGGTGCAGAGGGAAGGCAGAGGTGGTAGAATTGAGTCTCTGATGTCTTGAAGTTTGCATCTCTTTCATACACTCTCTAACATTTTGCAGGGGTTTTGTGTTTGGGTATTTTGGGTATTCACATTTTTCACTTTTATGATTTTTTTACCCCTTTCTGAAGAGCCAAAGACCGACATCAGCCTGCCGCGTGATAAGCTGCTGCGGGCAAAGGAAATCAAGGAAAGAAAAAAGATCCTGAAGGAGAACCATCAGAATGCCGAGATGGAAAGAGCAGCACGGCTCCGGACTGGTCTGTGCCCTGCCACCTCCTCTCCCTGCCCCAGCAGCTCTGGGTGCCCAGCTGCTTCCTGCAGTGTTTCTCTCTCATTGCAGTGCTGATTCCCCTCGATGAAGTCAGAGCTGAGTGGGAGAAGACCAGCGGCCCGTTCCACAAGCAGCGTGTAGCGGAGCACTGTGGGATATTTCGTGACTTGTTCAAAGGGGCCACATTCACCCCCTGGGTTACCTTGAGGGTGGAGTACAGCCAAGAAGATGAGCACTTTGTGCCAGTCTACTATGGGAACATGGTGACTCCGTCAGAGGTGTGTGAGGGGAGCTGGGAACAACCTCAACCCCATGGGAAGCCTGTGTGTTTCTGTCAGATGCTTCTAACGGGCATTGTTTGTTCTGGGGGATTTCTTTTATAAGGGCATTTCCTCTGTGATGAAGGAAATATGTTTCTTGGGTATGATAAAGACAGAGCTTTGCAACAGGATTGTTGTCTGCCGGCAGGCTGGTGTTTTTTAACACTCCCGGGGGCTCTCCAGGTGGAGCTGGATTACTCGGTGGCACAGCTGTGCCCAGTCTGTGTTGCATCCTGGCTGTGCCCGTAACAAGTTCATGGTCTTTGCCTTGGGAATGGTGATCTGGTCTTAATGGCACCTGTGGTTTGAGTGATTTACATTCTCTTTATGTTGCTCTTCTAGGCTTCCAGTCCCCCTGCAGTGTCATATGAGGCAGATAAAGGCTCCCTCTGGACTTTGCTGCTCACAAATCCAGGTAAGTAACAAGTTCTTTAAAAAAACATGTTTAAACTGGATTGTTTGATTCTGCTTTTGATTAGCTCCTGTTTCGTTTGGCTGCACAGCCAGAGATTATGTGATATCTGCTAAATAGGGACATATTACTTATGTAGGAAAGACTGTAGCCTCCCCAGATCTCTAGCAGTTGAGAGATGGGACAGTGATACAACAGGACCTGTGTCACAGTGTAGAGGAAACAATTCCCTGACTCCCATCTTTTGTTTATCCCCAAACTCTTCTCTCCCTTGGCAGTCTGCCTAGGAAGTAGGTTAGCTGACTCTGTTCACCCTGAGAAACCAAGGCACAGTAAAGTGAAGCAAGTGACCAAGAAGTCCTTTTAATCTTGGAATTACATCTGTAGAGTTCTTTGTTCCTCATTTTAAGCTCAATCCTATAAGAATGAGTTACTTTTGTGCTAGGAAAGGAATGCTGGGAGGTCTAGAGCTGCCCCCTTCTTTCAAAGCGGGTTTGGCCATTTTCCCTTTGGGGATGATGCAAACACCAGGGTGTCCCTAAGTCACTTTTCTCTGTTGTGTGCGTTCACAGATGGACATTTAAGAAACACGGACTCGGAGTACCTCCACTGGCTGGTGTGAGTACTGCACATCAGACCCACGTGCTGCTTAGCTCGGGGAAAGCCCAGGAGGATTGGGCAGAAACGACTCTTGGGAATAAGAGTTCGCTAAGGTGGTTCTGTGGCTTTCTGTGGTGCTCCTGCCATTGGCTTCTTTACCCCTGTGTTCTGGGTCCTGCTAAAGATGCAGTAGTTCCAGGTGTTGCTGCTGTTTGGCATTCAAATCACTGGGTATGATTTTCGCTCCAGTGAAAGCAGCCTCTACTATCTGTTCACTTGTCAAACAGGGCATAAGTCATGTCAAAACGTAGCACAGAGTGATTTGCAATCTTGGGTGTATCTGCTGGTCCTAATGGAGGGAAATGAATATATAGCGAAGTAAACTTCTTTGTGTTCAGGACAAACATCCCAGGCAATGACATCAAGTTGGGTAAGGAGATCTGCCATTACTTACCCCCTTTCCCTGCCATGGGAACTGGCTACCATCGCTTCATCTTCCTCCTCTTCAAGCAAGACTGCCCCATAGATTTCAGCGAGGATATTCGGCCGATGCCATGGTAATTCAGGCTCTCACTGGGCAGTTTCACGCTCGCTTGGCTTGGCTGTTACTGCTTGTTATGATCATGTGCTTGTTACTGCTGTAGGAGAGCAGTTCCTTTTAATCTGCAGGATTCTTTAGGGCTGCTTTGAGTTTGTGTGTCACCTGAAGCTACAATCCCAGCCCTGCAAGTCCTGTGGCTTTAAAACAGGCTGTTAAGAAAGTTGTTTGCCCTGCCTGGGGCAGAAACATGCACAGAGCAGGAGAAGCTGGGAGATTTTCTTTTGGTGGCTTCCTTTTCTACCTCTGTTTTATAGACTCTGGGGTGATGTGGGGAAGTAGTTGCCTACCAGGGTGCTGCAGGAAAAGAGGTTCACCTCAGCTCTTCTGCTTGTGTCTTGTTTCCAGCCACAGCCTCAAGATGCGAACCTTTAGCACGTTTGACTTCTACAGAAAGCACGAGGATGCAATGACCCCAGCAGGGCTGGCGTTTTTCCAGTGTCAGTGGGACAGCTCTGTTACTTGGGTCTTCCATCAGCTTCTCAGTAAGAAATGCAGCGTGCAGGGAGGGGGCCTGTTTGTGGGCTGGGACATGGCCCTGCGGGTAACGCACAGGGACAGTGAGCAAGCTGTGGCTGTAGGCTCTTGCCTTGTCCTAGCACTTGTCTAGGATCTGTTACAGCACAGACTGGGTATTTATTGAGCCATTCTCCACCAAACTAACAGCAGTCTGAGGAAACGACCTCTAAAAGACCATTTTGTATGAGCATTTTAAAATAACACCAAGAGCCTTCACCAGGGCCTGCTTGACCAGTCTTGGTCTCGTGTGTGTGGGGGGGGCCTTGCTGCTGAAGGGGAGGGCCTGGGCTTTGGATCTGTGCTGTTCTACTAATGTTCTGCATCGCCCCTTTACAGATATGAGAGAGCCTGTGTTTGAATTCGTGCGGCCGCCCGTTTACCATCCTCCACAGTTAAAGTTCCCGCGCCACCAGCCTCTGAGGTACCTGGACAGATACCGAGACACCGAGGAGCCCACCTACGGCATTTACTAGGGACCTGGCCTTCTCTCGAGGCTCTCTGGTGTATGCTGGGATGCCGGCCTGGCAGATGAGGCTGCTGGGGCTTCCCTGCATTCACACAGGTGTGCAGCTGGGAGCTGCCTGCACCTCTGGAGGGAGACGACAAAGTCTCAGCCCCTTGGCTCCCAGTTCCCCTGTGCTGGCAGTGCTGGGAAGTGTGCAGCTGAGGGCAACAAGCATTTGCAGTGCTGGCAGCTGTGTGATCAAAAGGCTACTTAAAGAGGACATTCATAGATGAAAGCAAATCTATGGCCAGGCTGAAATCTTGCTACTGATTCTGTAGCTGAGCTGATCAGTAAGGGAGGCAGGGTATTGCCTCTGGAGGTGATCTGCCTTGCTTCTCTGCAAGGATCACAGTTCTCCTTTTGCCTGTTTATGGAACAAACAGAGCCAGGCCAGCCTGAATTTCCTCCTCTTGCAGCACTGCGGTTCAGGACTGTGTTGGCTTTCATTTGTGCAGTCCTCTTAAAGAGATGAGTCTGATTAAATGCACTCTGAGCGATGCTGGCAGAGCTGTCTTTATTGGGAAGAGCTTGGTATCCTGACCAGCTGGCGCAGAGCTGGGGAGCTCAGCAGGGTGCAGGGGAGAAGGGCAGCCCTTCACCTGGCCTGAGTCGCTTTCCCCTCTTGGATGTTGTAGGGTGGGAAGTGTGCGGTTAGGCAGGTGGTAGACCTGCACAAGGTCCACGTTTGTGGAGCTGGGTTCTCCCAGCAGCTACCCAAGCACGTGGACCTCGGTCTCCTTCCCCTCGCTCCCCGGGCAGCATGTACCCAATGTGGATAGGTGGAGCAAAAGCAGATCTGCAGAGCTGCCACGGTTGAGGCAGACTTGCGGTGGTGGCCTGGCACTCTGCTGCTGATGATCCTGTACCCAAGCTGTGGAGAGACTCTGCTTTCTACAGTGCTCTGCAGGGCTCTTTGTGCATCCCTCGTTCACATCTTTAAACCCCCGAATACCAACATGCTCTTGCTGTTGCAGCTGCCTGTTCCCAGCTCTGGTTCCTGGTAACCTTCTGAGGTTTCCATCTTCCTCAGGAAATAAGAGCCTCCAGCAAAGAATGAGATTGAAATGACCCCCTGCTGCTGTTGCTCAGGGCTGTTACCAGCTACGCCTGAGCTCCCTGAACTCTCCTTTTGCCCCAAAGGGTTCTGGGGTCTGGTTTAAGCTGGGGTGAATTAGCTGGTGGGGTGACCACAGTGGGAGTGCAGGTGTCCTGCGGTTCCAGGCAGACACACAGGTCATGTTACACCCCTCTCTGAGCTTTGAATAATTAGTCAGAATTTGCAGATTTGGCCCAAATAAATGTTTTGGAGGCTGAAGATATGCTGGGACATGCAGGCAATTGTGACAGATCCCAAGTCACCTCCTGAGTACAGGGGTGGTCTGGAGGGTGGCTTTGAGCCTGCCAGTGATGCAGAAACTGCTCTGACCCCGCAGCAGCCCACTGGTGAGCGCCCCAGCTGCAGCACAGACCTCCTGCCCACTTACCCTTGGCTGTGCAGGTGAAAGCAAAGCTGTGCATGTGGGGAGGCTGCAGAACCGTTGTAAACCGAGGCCATCCTGCCAGCATTCAGCTGCCTGGGAGTGTGTGTGTGAGAGATAGCATATCCGCGAGGGTAAGGAGATAAGGTTTGGACTAGAAGGTTGGGAGCTTTTTCTCCTGAAGCTGAACTGTATGAAGACAAGGTGAAGGTATGCAGTGCACGGACACCACAATCGCCTCCAGGCAGAAGATTCCACCTGCCACCTGAGCAGGGACTGATTGCCCAGGTGACCTCTTTCGTGCGGTTTGAGTACTGGTGTGCACGGGTGTTGCAAGGAACTTAGCAGGAAAAGGAGTGGTGGGTGTGCATGGGGGCATGTGCAAACAGCAGGAGCTGTAGTTTAAAATGGAAAGATGCAAGGGTGGAATGTGGCCCTGGCCGGCTGCTGGCATGTGTCACAGCCCTTGTCACTGCAGAGGGAGGTGACATGGCTGTAGCAGCAGTGGGTGCCCCTTTCTGCTGGGTCCCAGGCTCACAGATGCCAGGAGCACAGTACTGCGCCGTATTGTGGTCTCTCTGCCAGGGAGGACTGCCGTGCTCTGCTTGGGGACCCACCCCTGGCAGAGGTGAGGATGCCATGAAGTTCCCTCAAAGGGCAAAAAAGGAGTGAAAGAAATCAAATTGTACGTTGTATGTGCACCTGTGCACAGGCATTCACAGAAATGCACATTGCTCTGAACCTTGTCAGCCTCTCGTGTGTGTCTTCCTGTGCTGTCACTACAGCGTTTCATCCTCTCCTGCTGTGCTTCGCAGCCCTCCCTGTCCGAAGGGGGGAGCAGCTCCAACCCTCCCCATCTTCTCCCCAGTGTGTGGCACAGCCAGCATGGCCAAGGACTGAGGGGCACCCACTGGGTGTCACTTTAAGAGCATGCCTGGCTCGGAGCCCTGACCCGCCTCTGGGCTCAGCGTCACCATCTCTTCCTCCTCTGCACAGCTGAGTTTCTATTTCCTCGGCTTCTTTTGCTGGCTTCTTTCTCCCATCACCCCAATCCCTGGCACAGGCAGGATGGCATCGCCCATCTCACAGAAGCTGGAGGAGAAGCTGGTGTGCTCCATCTGCCTGGAACTATTCAGGGTGCCTGTGACCTTGCCCTGCGGGCACAACTTCTGCAAGTGCTGCATCAGTGACCACTGGCAAAAGCAAGAGAGGGTGCCCGCTGGGGCCGAGAAGGGCTACACGTGCCCCGATTGCCGCAGGACCTTCGAGCGACACCCAGAACTGGAGAAGAATGTCACCCTGTGCAGCGTGGTGGAGGTGGCACAGGATGGCGAGGCACGGGTCTCGGGCGCAGAGAGGTGCGAGGTGGCCCGTGGTGAGCTGTGCCCGCAGCACGGGCGCCCGCTGGAGCTGTACTGCGAGGATGAGCGGCGGTGCATCTGCTGCGTCTGCACCGTCCGGCAGTGCCACCAGCACCAGCGGGTGCTCTTCGAGGAGGAGCGCTCTAAAAAGCAGGTGGGGACGATGGGTGGCAGGACTGGGGTGACGGGTGGGGCAAGCAGGGGGAGTTGCAGCAGCTCAGACACGGCATGACATCCACCTCCCGTGTCCTATGCACTGCTGTGGGGACATGGTGTGCCTCCATGTGCCGAGCTGTGTCCAGCCTGAGCTGAACAGGGGGCTGGTACAGGCTCTGGCCAGGGAGATGCCACCAGCACCTGGCTGCTCCCCGAGAAACCAGGAGCTGTCTGGAGCAGCAGAGCACTGGGTAAATCCAGCAGCACTGGATGAATGGTGCCATATGTGTTTGTGACCCCCCTGATCTAGAGGAAACAGCTAAAAAAGGGGTGAAAGACAGCACAGGGTTTCAATTCTCAATGACCCTGGATGCAGCCTCTCCCTTCCCAAACCACTTCCTTCCCTGCGAGCCTTGTCCTGCAGCCCTGAGAGGGCTCTCAGGGGCTGGGTGGGCAGCAGCATGCTGCACCACAGGATGTTGGTGCCTTCCTTTGCAGGCCCTTTTGAAAGAGTCCCTGGAAAAAGCTGAGGAGGAATCGGAGAGGATTGAGCAGGCAATGCAGGAGCTGGATGACCGAACACGCAGCATCAAGGTAACACCGCTGCCGCCTCTGTGCCGGGCGCAGGACTGGGAGCGTACTGGCTCTCATGGCTCTTTCCCGTCCAGGACTCCTCTGAGGGGCTCAAATCAGTGATTCTGAGCAAATTCACCTACCTGAGGAAAGCCCTGGAGGATTTCCAGTGTTGGACGGTGGCCAGGATTGAGCAAGAGCAGGCGGCGGCACTGGGGCGCGTGGGGGAGGACTGGAGCTTCCTGAAGGACCACCTGGACGTCCTCAACCAGTACAGGGAGAGGGCTCAGCGCCTGCTGGCCTGCCCTGACAACAGGACCTTCCTCCAGGTACCATCCTGGCTGCGTGTCACTCCCCTCACCTGGGTGCTGCTGGCACCTTTCGGTAAGGGTAGAGAGATGGTTGACCCCTTCCCCGGGGGGATGCATCCTCAGCCCAGCTCATGGATGTGATGGGGCTGTGGGGAGGAGCTGCTTTTGGAGGGGGTCCCTGAAAAGTTGGGGGGGTGGTGCTGGATCAGAGTGGATGATGCTGACTGCAGGGTCATGGGCAGCATCTCTCACCCCCAAACTGTTCAGCAAGGCTCTTCCACCACTAGCAAAACACAGATTCCTGTGGCATGGCCCCTCTGCTCCCCACAGCCTCACGCTCCCCTGGCGACTGTCCCCTGACCCCATGCACCAGCTGCAGCTAATGGCAGATGTTTTGGGGATGCCCCCATCACCCACTGGGGAGACGCGGCATGTGCGGATGGGATTTGGAGCTGCCAATCCTCCCCAGGCCAGTGCATGGTTGTCTGTGTGTCTGTCTGCAGGAGTTTCCTCTGCTCCCATCTCCGGAGAGCCCAGAGGCACTGGTCCCCATGGAGTTTGATGTGGCCACCAAGGTCGAGCCCCTCGTTGAGATCCTTACTAACATCTCCAGGCTCCTGCCCAGCTCTGTGGCCCCAAAAGCCCCGGATCCCGTTGACCAAGGTAACCTTCTTCTCACAGGGCCACCCCAAAGGGCTCCAAGTCATCCTGAACCACAGCCTGGCCCGTGTCACCATGCTGGAGACACAGCTGCCAGGCACAGGGGGTTGGGATGGGGTCACGCATCTATGGTTCAGCAGATGGGTATCAATGGGATGGAATGAGCTGGGTGGCTACCCTGTGGCCCCTCCTTGGTGACAATGCCAAGCCACGGTGACACGTGTCCGCTCCCAGGCTTAGATACAATGGAATTCCTCCTTCTCCCATCAAAGCCAGGAAGGAACAAGTTTTTGGGTGGCATCACTCAAAATGCCTGTCCCCATCCTCCACAGGACCGGTGGATCCCCAGGAACCGGCGATGAAGGTGGTGGCTCCTCTCCCCGAGTGCCAGCTCCGAGCTGAGCTTCTGAAGGGTGAGGAGCATGTGGGGCGTCTGGCAGGACAGCACCCCGCTGGGGTCCCCAGCAGGCAGAGATTTCACTGAGCCGGGCTCTTCCCTGGGAGGAGGGTGGTCGTGGCTGCAGGGACAGGGACTCTTTCCCTGGCTCTCCCAATCTGTCTCCCCAGATGCAGAGAAGGGTGGTGCAGGGCCAGGGCAGATGGGCTGGGGGACACTGCATGGCCAGGAAAGGGCTCATTAGGGGGATTAGCGGCACCAGGGAACACTTTCCCGTGGAAACTGTGGCTGTCGGTGCCCAGCACTGGATCAGTTGCTGCCTCGGATCTTGTCCTGTCTCCTTCCCTCCTTTTCACCCACCTTGGGCGTCTCGCCTGGGCAGGAGCAACATGCCTGTTCCTGACAACCCATATTTAGACGCAGTGCTCTCCTGCAGGCAGGCAATGTCAACAGCTGGCAAGCAAGCACTCACAGGGAGGTGTCATGGGCTGCCCCAGCTGCCCTGTATGGCACAGCACCAGTCCAGACCCCTGCCTGCAGACCCCTGCCTGCAGACCCCTGCCTGCAGTCATTGCTCTCTACCCAGGGATATGTCCCCAGCGCTCCCAGCCACAGTCCTTCATGTCCCCTTCCCTCCCTGGGGCCATCCCACTCCCATTCCTTTGGGATTTCCTCAGTGCTCCTTTTCCCATCTCCTCCCTGTTAGGAAGAGGGTTGGATAATGTTTAGGGTATGTTGGTCATGTCACTCTTGCCAGGGAGGCAATCGATGCCTATGGGACCTGTAAGGATTCCTTTCATTAGGTCCCACAAAGCATTCTCAGGGTTATTAATAGGAAAACAAAATGTTATTTATAGGTAGCAGGCATGAGCCCAGCGTAGCTGGCCAGGCCGGGTTGTTGTGGGAGGAAGGTGAGGTGCTGGTGGCTGGCGAGTGCCCGCAGCAGGGGGAGTTATCGCAGCCCGTGCAGAGGAGAGTAGCTTCTCGCAATACCATATTTGCTCACTTAATGCCTGGTTTTCTCCCTCTCTCCCCACCCACACTCATATTTTTTGCTCTTAAAACCAAGCACATCTCTTCCAAAATGATGGAGCCACTGCTGCTTGCTGGCTGTGAGCTGGGCTGTGCAAGGACTGCATGAAGTGTTGTGTCTTGGAGCCTCGCCAGCTATTTCTGGGCTGCTTCTGTTCCTTCTAGCAGGCGGGTGGGCAGGTATCGCATCTCACCCGACTCCCCTTCTCCTCCAAGCATGCTGTAACTTGTTCCCTTCTATTTTGGGAGCCAGCGCTACGCAGTTTAAACCACATCACTATTGAGGGGGGGTTCACACCAAGGGCGTAAAGGTCTGATGAAGCATTTCAGCTCCATCCATGCCGTTACTCTCCCCAGACCACCGCAACCTGACTTTCGATCCCAAGACAGCCAACAAGTACCTGGAGCTGTCAAAAGGTAACCAGAAGGCCAAGCACAGCCCCAGCGCCGTCTGCGGGCAGCAGGAGCAGGGATCTCGCTTCAAGCCCTGGCAGGTTCTGTGCACGCAGGGCTACAGCCATGGCCACCACTACTGGGAGGTGAAGATCTCCAGCCACTCCGTCATCCTGGGGGTGACCTACCACGGTCTCCCCCGAGAGCAGCAGCAGGGCCACAAGTTCAATATCGGGCTGGACGGGGGCTCGTGGGGGCTGCAGGTGCGGGAGGATTGCTACCTGGCCTGGCACAAGGGCCGGGCGGAGAAAATTCAGGAGCAGCTGTATAAGAACCTGGGGGTCAGCCTGGATTACAGCAAGGGGGTCCTCTCCTTCTACGGCCTCGGGGAGAGGATGCAGCTCATCTACTCCTTCCACAATGTCTTCACCCAGCCCCTCTATCCTGTCTTTTGGCTGTGCGAGGGGCGAGCGGTGACGCTGGGCCAGAGGGACTAAGATGGAGCTGCCGCGCTGCTCCATTAGCTGGGCTGGCAAGCCCCAGGCTGGTGCCGTAGCTGAGCCGCAGCCAGCAGCTGTCATGGTGCGAGTGCAACCCCAATGCCGAGGCAGGAGTAGGGTGCGGTGTTTTAATGAGAGCTGATGAGGACAGACATGCAAATTAACCCACTCGAATTTGCATATGCAAATATCACCCTGGTGACAAAAGTTAGGGTAGGGAGAGGATGCAGGGCTAAGGGCTGTGCCCTCGCGGTGGGGATGAAGCCCCCGGTCACTGTGCATGGGGGCATGTGTGGGTGCCTGTCGCTGCAGATGAGGCAAGGGTTGGGGGATAGGGAGGGTGCAAGAATGAGGTTTTTCCTCTTTCTCCCATCCTGGCCTGGGGGAGATTTGGGGAGAGGGGTACTCTGGAGGGGGTTGCTGCAGCCACGGAGTGCCGTGGAGCAATGCGGCGGGAGCCCAGTGCTCCCCCAGCCCCACATGCAGGCAGGTCCTGCTCCTCCTCCCTGTCCCCTCTTGCTGCTCTCAGATGTAGCAGAGCTACTTTTTGGGGTGTCATGCTGCAGTTGCTCTTTGTACAAAGCTGCTTTGCCCAATAAAGCTCTGTTTTCCTACCGCTTTGACCTCAGTGCTGGTGGTAGCCGTGGGGACCAAGCAGCACTGGGAGGGGGGGAGCTGTGTGCCCCTGCTCCCGCACCCATCCCTGCAGGGCCCCATCCTGCCCCTCCACATCCTCGTGGGGCCAGCAGCAGGGACCAGCCTCGTGTAGTGACCAGCTGGCGGCAGAACTAGAAGGTGCTTTATTTATAGTAGCACTGCGATAAGGAAACCTGGTTTCCTACAGCTCTGCCCCAAGGTTGATCTGGCGCAGAAGAAAATCCAAAGCTTTGATTGAAGCTTTTCCAAGGGCGAGGCCTCAGGTCCGGCATCTCCCCCCACTCCCATGGGGATGCTGGTGAGGACTAATGGGGCGAAACTGGGCACTGGCTTCAAAGGTGCTGGGGAGGTGCAGGTGTACACATGGGGAATGAATCACATCAGCTTGTTTCCTTTGGGGAAAAAAGGCTTAAAAGGATCAAACCCCTTCTTCAAGGACAGATGCAATTTGTTCTGCCGTGCTTCCTCCTTCACTCCACATCTCCCTGCTCCTCCCAGTCCCATCCTTGGGTAGGAACTTGGGCTGGCATGGATGAAAAATTGTCTGTGTACCTTGCACAGGAGGTGTGTAGGGTTCAGCGTTTGGAAGATCTCGCGATGTCACGGAAAGTTAGAGGGTTAGTCGCAGCCTTATGATGTGTCTGTAATCCCACCTACCCTTGTTAGTATAAAAGGAATTGACTGCGCAATAAAAGGCGGAAGTTGGCGCTCACACTGTGTGTGTTATCTGTCTCTTTCCCTGGTCTGGGGGTGATCAGTGATCTAATCGTGGCACCTTGATATGCGGCGAACGCTACAGAGGTGTCCAGAGATCCCATGTTTACCAGGCAGCTCCCCATACAGAAAGCGCTTTGGTGTCTCCCCATACCTGCCTGGTGCCTGCCGGCTGCTGCCTGGCCCTGGAGGAAGAGGGGACAGGGGCTGAGCCAGGACTGGGCACTGCAGCCCTTCTTGGGTATGGGAACGGCTGACATGGGTCCATGGGCACAAAGGCTGGCAGGAAAGCATCTGCACCTCTGTACTGGGGTGGAGCTCAGGACCCTCCATGTGGCCCCAGGGTGAGGAGCAGCTCTTAGTGGGCAGTGGGGTGGCAACAGGTTCTGGGGCAGCAGATCCCGGGGGGCAGGGGATGCTCACGGGAGGCAGCAGACCCCCGGGAAGGGCATCGGAATGGGCTGGCAACAGCTTCCCTGGACAGGAGATTTGGGGGGGG